CTTCCTATGTCGACAGCAACTATGAGTTTCAAATATAAATACACATGATCATAAACATTTTCTGGAAACTCATGCCTGTATAACAAAGTTTTGAGAGATCTGTACTTTAGCTATAGATAATGTGATAAATAATAACATGTCAACCAAATACAATTTGTCACAGAGCTTTAATTTAAAACTGTTATTTTAATATTAAATTTTTACTAGCAATTTACAACTTTTTTTTAATTTAAAAGTAGGTGAAATAAGGTGTGTAAACAGTATTTTTATTATTTCCGTTGTTAGTAATTTATTAAAACTACCTTGCTAGTTTGAATTAATTGACATTTTATTTCCTATATATAATCTGCAAAATTATATAGGCTTTTAATTAGGAGTATTATATTAAAGTGGCAAATTATACTTTTTCTGAAAGTCACCTGACATTATTTTTAACATTAAAAATCAGTGACACAATATTAAGGCATTTCAATACCACAACAAGCAGCTTGTCGGCTGTTTTCAACAAGAAGTCGAAAATATCATTTTTCACCAAAATTAACAAAAATATTCATTAAAATTAGAAAATTAAAGATATCATCATGAAATGAACAAATTTGAGAGAGGCCCACATGTAGTACCTATATATGTAATATCAAAGCAATCGGACTTGCAGTTTTTAACAAGAAGTCAAAAATATCACTTTTCACCAAAAATTACAAAAATATTTTTCAAAATTAGAGAATTGAAAATATCATCATGAAATGAACAAATCTGAGAGAGGTCTACATGTAGTACCTATATGTATAATATCAAAGCAATCGGACTTGCAGTTTTTAACAAGAAGTCGAAAGTATCTCTTTTTACCAAAAATATTCACCAAAAAAAAAGAGAGAATTTGAGATTTTGTCATGAAATCAAATTCAAGAAAGAACAATCCAAGGTACTTGCATATCGTCAACGACGACAGACAATCAATAATATAAAGCGGAGCTAAAAAGTATTCTGAAAATGTTACAATGTTTGAGTGACATGTAATAAAACTAAAATAGACATTTTCCTATCCGCATTCCCAAATAAATTAGATCTGTTCAATTTGTGAAATATATCAATTCATTGTGACACAAAAACAGAGAGCTGAATCTAACATAAGCATTGTGTCTCTTATCACAGCACAGTTCATGCGTACATTGAAAACTAAATCATACTGAGTACAATTGAATCTTATCTTTCAAAGCCACATAAAAAGCACAAAAAGTCTTTCTCAAATTCCAAATTCTCTCACAAGTCTCCATTTCAAATTTCTGGGTTCAGTAGAGGTGCCAGTCTCACAGTTACACATCACTAGACATAGACACTGCCAGCTATTGATATCCATAAAGCATGCAAGGAAAACACAAACCAACTGACAATATATCTTGCCTATGGTCCATGATCAGTTATAAAACCAATGAGACATGGGGGAGGGGTTGTATTTAGCAAGCTTAAAGTGCCTGTGAACACCAACACATTTCCCGTTTTTGATTTGTTTTCCACTGAAATAGACAGTTATTGATTTTTTTGCTAAAAATTATTACATGTACTTGTATCAAAGTAAATTTGAGATATTTCCCGTGTTGTAACCATGCCCACCTATCTTGAAACAGGCGACTGTTTCCAGCTTTATGACTAGTTGAAGTAAAAGTACACCACTAAACGCTAAAATATGAGAGGAAGTCATACTTTTGCACTATACTTTTATAATACTGCATCATTTAACGGTACTTAATATTTTTTGAAACATACTTTTGGCGGATTCAGAAATACATATAGTAAAAGTGTGAGAATTTACAATCGGAAAGTGTGACATCAGTGGACGAAAGATGTAAAATCAATGAGAACAAGTTGGGATGGACATTCTCCATATACCATCATACCGAATATTCTTTCATCATTCATAAAAGAACAGCTTGGATTTAAAGACAAGTGCAAAAAATTAAACCAGGTACAGCACTGACACTTTTTAAAGAACCAGATTCCGTACCAGCCCATGTTCACCGCGTTGGTTTTCAGAAGAGCGAGAAACGTAAGTCAGTGTTTCAAATGTTTTGGGAATATGAATAATATTTTGTGTTGAGTAAGAGGTAGCAATGACATAACACGAAAACCGAAGCGTCGGTCAAACAGGAAATTATGCAGCACTCATACTTTGTTGTCTAACAGTTTCTGAATTGTTTTGTGAATGGTGTTGAATAATACTTCTGTGATCTTTACTTGCAATTTGATCTTCGTAATGACTGTGCTGTCAATATTTTGTAACCAAGTAATTTTTAATGTTATGTCGTAATTATGACAATCATGTTAACTCAAATCACACTGTGTTTTCGCTCTCAATTATTTTTGTTATCCAATCAAATGCCACTCATGCCCTTGTCCTCATCAAGACCCAATGTGTCCATTTCAACAGGATGTCAATTCACTCGCACACGGCTATGACTCATTATATCATTTTTTTTTACTATTTCTTTATTTCATTGATCGCTATAGTTCAATGTTCAGAATGTTAAAACATTTTTACTTTTTTTTTACTTAGATGATTGATACCCAGTAACGTGACAAATAACTAGAAGACAAGACAGATATCAGGTCCAGACCAGCCACGCCAGAAGACATATACTCAATTATATATGATAAATTCGATAATATATGTATTTTATGGTTCACTCTTAATCAAGGAACAAGTACATGATTGGCAATTTAGTCAAAGACGAGAAAATTGAATAAGGAAATGTGCCATATGAACATTATTAGCAATGCACACTGACCAGCAAGTTCCACTGCATACGTCACCATGGGTATTTTAGTATACAAATGAGAAGCTAATGAGAGGCCTCATTTTAAAATACATAAAAATAAAAATGAGTTTGAAACCTATTTTTTTTACCTTGTGGTCGAAAGAGCTCTACTGTAATTGTTAACTGTGAGTTGGAAATGTAGTGATGATGATGATAAAATTTGACACCATAAAATAAACTGGTCATTGTATTATTACAAGTTGAACAAGCCATGCAATATGGCACAGTCCCTGTCAGTTACCAAATTTAAGATATATAGTTTTGTTTATAGTAATATAGCTAGAATATAACCATGTCAGGAATATGATTTTTTTAACATTAAAATGATTGACATTTGTATCTGATGGTCAAACAAGTACTTGTCCATATTGAGAGATATTGCTCTGGAACAGCATTCAAAATCAGCCATTTTGAATACATGTATATATATATAACATGATGTATGATGAATATATAAAATTTGAATACAATCAGTCAAAGCATTTAAAAGATATGGCTCTAGAAGCCCAATCATTAAAACAAAATGGCCGCCAGTCTGCCATTTTGAATCCAATCTGAAAAATAAAATGACATGCATCAGGAACCTGTAATGTCTAATGTACATGTATGTTATAAGTTTGAACGAAATCCATCCAGAAATGCCAGAAATGCTTGATATTTGATGATTTTTTTAGCACAACAATAGCCACCATTTGGCCACTTTGAAAAGGATCGTCAAACCAATATATCCGTATATTTATGACATGATGTATAATGAATATTAAAAATTTGAACATAATCAGTCAAAACAAGTCAGACATATGGCACAAGAACCACATTCATTAAAACAAAATGGTCGCCAGTCGGCCATTTTGAATCTAATCTGAAAAACAAAATTATTTGCATCAAGGTCCCATAATGTCTAATGTATATACCAAGTTTGAACAAAATCCATCTGTCAACAGTCGAGAAATGCTTGATTTTTATAATTTTTTTGCACAAAAATGGCCGCCATTCAGCCATCATGAATCAGAACGTAAAACAAAATGATGTGCATCAATGTCCTATAATGTCCAACGTATATACCAGGTTTGAACAAAATCCATCTGTAAACAGCCGGGCAAATGCTTGAGTTTGATGATTTTTAGCACAAAAATGGCCGCCATTCGGCCATCTTGAATCAGACCGTGGAACAAATTGATGTGCATATGTATAATATCATGTATGATGTATGTGTGAAGTTTGATTGTGATTAGTCCAGGCACGCACAAACGCACGCACACACACACGCACACATAGAGGTCAAAACATAAGTCCCCGTTTTTGGACTGCGTCCGAACAGAGACTAATAAATTGAAATCATAAAGTATGATATGGCCAGGCAGGACAAGATTTTTAAAACTCAAAATAGAATTTAGATCAAAAGAGAGCTATGCAATGTTGTAATCAGGGTATAATCTGATAGACTGTGATCAGAAATGGCCCAGGCAGTTCACACAATGTGTACTGAGAAAGACTACCTTTCAACTGTTCCCCATGCAGCTGTGCTATAAATAGCAAGGTGATCTAGCTTATGGTTTGGGAGAAGAAGTCGCTTGAATATAAGTTGACAGACAGACAGACAGACGATGACAGGTCCAGTCAACCCATGAGCTCTGCTCAGTCATCTTTAATGACAGCGGAGCTAAAAATAATAATATTGCTGTACCAATAAATGATATTGGGTCAGAAAAATAACAGGCATTTCACAGGCACTTTATTACTCAGCAACAATAACAGATACTATTTTAGGCCAATCTTTCTTTCCAAATTAATGCCGTGAATAAATACAACAAAAATAAACTCTAAATAATAAAAAGATGAACTGGGCAAGTACATTTTGACACAAGTATTTCCTGAAAGAGATTTTGGTTAGCTAGTTTTTGTATTATGAACTTTAAATAGATGTAGAAATATTAAAAAATTGTCAATTCAAAAGGGCTAACAAAATTATAAGGCTCTATCCTATGGGGAAATAAAAACAAAGTCATTGTTTCCATGGAAACAAGTTCAAGTACCTCATCTTTTTGAATACATGTATAATGAATATTTAAAATTTGAACATATTCAGTCACAGCAAGTCAGAGATATGGCACTAGAACCACAATCATTAAAACAAAATGGCCGCCAATCAGCCATTTTGAATCTTATCTGAGAAAAAAAATTATGTGCATCAAGGTCCTATAATGTCCAACATATATACCAAGTTTGAACAAAATCCATCTGTAAACTGCCGAGAAATGCTTGATTTTGATGATATTTCAGCACAAAAATGGCCACCATTCGTCCATTTTTAATAGGATCGTCAAACCAATAAATCTGTATATCTACGATATTATAAGGCTCTACCCTATAGGGAAATAATAACAAAGTCATTGTTTCCACGGAAACAAGTTCAAGTACCTCATCTTTTTGAATACATGTATAATGAATATCTAAAATTTGAACATAATCATGCAGTCACAGCAAGTCAGAGATATGGCACTAGAACCACATTTATTAAAACAAAATGGCCGCCATTTTGAATCTTGTATCTGAAAACAAAATGATGTGCATCAAGGTCCTTCAATGTCCAACGTATATACCATGTTTGAACAAAATCCACAAAAATGGTCGCCATTCGGCCATCTTGAATCAGATCGTGAAACAAATTGATGTGCATATGTATAATATCATGTATGATGTATGTGTGAAGTTTGATTGTGATTGGTCCAGGCATTTCTAAGATACAGGTCTGCACGCACGGACAGAAGCACAAACGCACAGAGGTCAAAACATAAGTCCTCGTTTTCGGACTGAGTCCGAACGGGGACTAACAAATTTGTAGCCTTTTTTTCTAATCTTTATTATTGATTTAATGGATGGCGGGAATTGTAGTACTTGCATTTATTATAGACCCAAGAGACTTCTTATTATTCACATTGATACAAATAGACTTTAAGACAAGTGTTTTTTCTTTCTACTTCTTAATTAAATTGAAGATTTATTCCTGAGTATTCCTCAGGGAGACTAAAACTGTCCTAACTTTAAACTTTGTTTTAAAGTATTAACCATAAACATTTAAAAGTCAAAGGGAAATGACAGTTAATATATTGGTAGTTACTTTAAGCTTAACAAACCTAAGCTGTTAATTGCATGTTGTTGTCACTAGAAAGTGATTGTTATTTGTGTATTTTCTGATTTTAGATGAAGTCATGTGTTCAATAGTGCTAGGTATTACTTTCTGAAACACAATACACCATATACTAAAAAAGCTGTCATGTAACACTAGATAATTTTTCATCTTGTGCATTAATGAGAGCCATGGGCCATTGGGCAGCTTGACAAATACAGGATGACAGTTGTTATAATTAATTAGTTACATGTATATTTTGAGATTTATACAAAAACCATGCATAATACAGTTTACTAGTTTTTGTCTTTTCCTTGTTGTTATTGATCATTAACTGTTCAGAGAAATAGGCCGGTTATGCCATTGGAAACCTTTGGGGTTGTCGAATATATAATTGAACTTTCTGGTTTTCACATTGTTGATCTGGACCTCATCATTACTGATGTAGACAGACAGCTTTCAGACCACATTCTGTCATTTTCTGTACTTTGTATTTCAAAAGCGCTACCAGTGGGGATTTGTTCTCCTGGGTTTAAATGTATGTGATCATAGGTTAGCTACCCATAAACACTCCCAGTCTCAACAGTTGTCTTAGATCGGCCACTCAGAGGTTGAACAGTATTTAGAACACAGTTTACATGTATTATTGATGAGAATAATTCCTATTCAATTAAATTTTCTGCTTCATTTACAATATATACACCCAGTATAATACATGCATTGTATGTTTTTCGCATGAATTTTGTATGAAATATGGTAATGGATTCCATATGGATTCCGTATTCTGCGAGAATTAGTGATTTTAAAAAGCACATGACATGGCTTATACTTAGATAAGCAATTTCATAAATACACCTGGCACAAGTGTTAATAGTATGTATTCAATGTACAATTATAATTGAATTCAGCCGCCTGTTAATCAATATTTTATTAAACATGATGTATTTTTATAGTTTATAGACATGGTAATAACAACTCTTGTTGCAATTTTTCCTAATATAAAATGTATGTATGCACTTTTTTGATGCACATCATGCGAGAACTCATTATTTAAATCAGTTCAACTTGATAAAGATTTATGTTTTTTCTATAATAATGTCTGTGTTAATAAAAATACCTTCTCAGGATGTATGCATGCCTTGATCAACAAACAAACAAACAAACTTACTTCTCCATGAATAACGTTTATCAGATAGATATATAGCTAGATACTAAAACATATCAAGAATACATTGTATATAAAAAACATATTTTTTTTTTTTTTTGTACAAATGTATTTTTTTTTCTACGTAGTTAAGACATTGTTTTAACACAGTATAAATTAAACAAACCACATTTTAGTTTGCTTTGCAGTTTGGCCAACCATGTTAACCGATGTTTGAAATCCCATATTTCTGTATAGACAAACTTACCTCGTTTTCCAATTGTCCCAAAGCATGTAAAATTATTTTCTTTTCGTCCAAGTAAAATGGTTCTCCTACACATCGATAAGGCTTATAGCTGATAGCATTGTAACCCTGCTCTCTCATCTGCCTTTGACGTCGAGCATAGTTATCACGAAACACTTGGTTCCGTGTTGGGTGTGTACAGTTGTATACACTGTCTGACCTGGCTTGGATCAATAAACCTTGGTGAGACGGAATCGGCAACGGTATCGGCTGGATATACTTCCTTGGCTCCTGGTTCTTCGGAGCCATGCTTGTTTATATCACTAGTAATGTCCCCGCGCTGTGTGGTTGGCACGGAAACCTCCGGGTTCCACGGTAATGTAGCAACATAAAAACACGTACAATTTGGGTAATTACTTCATAAAGTCCGGATTGAACCCATGTTGTTAAAAACTAAATTGGCGAACTGCCGACGCGGCTCGAGGTTTCGGCAGAAACTTGTTGACTCCTTCCGTATAACAAGGTCAGTGGTATCGAGTGTGAAGTTTTGCAACAACAAGGTCAACTGATGACACACGTAGTAACTGAGAAATTAAGACCGAAAAATTGGTTTCATGTTATCTCGGACAGTCACCAACACGCACTCTTGGAGCTGTAAGGAACTCATTTGGTGCCACTGAATGAGACATTTGCGTGCTATTCTTTCTCTTAGGCATCACCCCTAAAAATCGCACACAGTCCATAAAGTTTAAAACTTTTTCATTTTCACGATTTTCATGATTTATTGGTATCTTTAATTCGTAAATTAATATTATTATAATCAACACTATAACTACACGTCAAGAGACGGTAAAATTTAGCTTCCAATGACGTATAAAATATGTACAGTACATGTAAGGAGAGACGACGCAAAGTGGAAGAGCCACTTAAAAACGCGTCGGGGTTACTTAGCTACTCGCTGTAAACAATGATTACATTTTAAATCAGGGACCGCACGTCGCAATGTATTCATCACGTACAGTCTCCCGACAATTGGACCGGGGTACTCAGGCCGGCAGCTAGTTGATCAAAGGATAATCTGTGCAGATTTGCGCTTATTTTGCCACAAGATTTTCCTGACCTTCGCATTTAATTTACTTGGGTCACTTTGTTAGGGTGTACATCATTTTTTTTCTCATTTTTGTTTTTATCCTATCTGTGCATTTTTGGTATTTTATTGTTCTCTTTACCAAGATCCCACGTCGGGATATGGTTTCAATGAAGATAATAATAATAATATTAACAATAATTAATAACTTCGAGTTACTGGCACATAGAATATTTGTTTTGTTTAACGTTGTATATTTTCCGTAATTCGACGTCCGGTTAATTAATAATTAAAGTTCGCGTTACTAAATTTGAACGTTCAACAAAAACAAAGATATAGGTTGCCCGCAAATCGTTCTGTTAACTGTTAATTGAACATCGAGTTATTATTGTGGACATTTTACAAAAATACAAATATATGTTGCCCGTAACTCGAAGTTCTGTTAATTGAACATTGAGTTACAATTTGGGCGTGGTTTCTGAAATATGGGCGTGGTCATTTTTGTAACTCGATGTTTTCGTAACTCGATGTTTCGCATTTCTAGTTATTTATTCACCTCAATCGTGGACGCATTTCTAGTTATTTATTTACCTCAATCTTGGACGTATTTCTAGTTATTTATTTACCTCAGTCTTGGACGTATTTCTAGTTATTTATTTACCTCAGTCTTGGACGTATTTCTAGTTATTTAGGAACAACATCAAAAGTTTAATGTAGGATAACAAACTTAATTCCTCTACTATAGTAATCTAAACATTCACCAACACAAATGTGGAAAACAATACAATTTACTTTACCATTGTTTTTTTGTCTACTTTTATTTACTTGTTGTTTTTTATTTATTTTCCTGTGTGTATTTTTATTCTCACTTTAATTGTTTGTTTGTCTTTATTTACATCTGTATTGCATTTTAGGGATACGAACGCAATAAAGATAATTATTATTACTTAACCCACCCCCCACCCCCCCCCACCCCCCACCCCCATCCCCACTGAAACTTAATTGATAAATATTTTTCATGAAGTCAGTCTACATTCACCATTAAATACATATTGATAATCGGCCAGTAATATGGCATAGCAGTTCATTTGACGCACATATTTACACTCGAACCAAACCATTTTCTCGTCTTGGTTTTTTTCATTTTCTGTTATTTTTGTCCATGATTGAATAGGAAAAAAAACGACCTACAAATACTCCAAGATTTGTTTTACTTCATTAAAAAATAAAATCGTTTTTGTAGGTTAGAAACTTTTTTAGGCCAACCACCACCCGCCCACCCCAAACTAAAGCAAATAAGTTTTTTTTTATCCGACATCGATCTATTGACGTCGTTCCTTATTCACCTCAATCGTAGACGTATTTTTCGTTATTCATTCACCTCAGTCGTGGACGTATTCCTAGTTATTTATTCACCTCAATCGTGAACGTAATGCTAGTTAATTATTCACCTCAGTCGTGGATGTATTACTAGTTATTCACCTCAATCGTGGACGTATTTCTAGTTATTTATTCGCCTCAATCGTGGACGTATTTTTCGTTATTTATTCAAATCAGTCTTGGACGTATTTCTAGTTATTTATTCACCTCAATCGTAAACGTATTGCTAGTTATTTATTCACCTCAATCGTAAACGTATTGCTAGTTATTTATTCACCTCAGTCGTGGACATATTTTTAGTTATTCACCTCAACCGTGGACGTATTTCTAGTTATTCATTCACCTCAGTCGTGGACGTATTTCTAGTTATTTATTCACCTCAATCGTGGACGCATTTCTAGTTATTTATTCATCTCAATCGTGGACGTATTTCTAGTTATTTATTCACCTCAATCGTGGACGTATTTCTAGTTATTTGCCTCAATCGTGGACGTATTTCTAGTTCTAGTTATTTATTCATCTCAATCGTGAACGTATTTCTAGTTATTTATTCACCTAAATCGTGAACGTATTGCTAGTTATTTACTCACCTCAGTCGTGGACGTATTTCTAGTTATTCACCTCAATCGTGGACGTATTTCTAGTTATTCATCTCAATCGTGGACGTATTTTTCGTTATTTATTCACCTCAGTCGTGGACGTATTTCTAGTTATTTATTCACCTAAATCGTGAACGTATTGCTAGTTATTTACTCACCTCAGTCGTGGACGTATTTCTAGTTATTCACCTCAATCGTGGACGTATTTCTAGTTATTCGCCTCAATCGTGGACGTATTTTTCGTTATTTATTCACCTCAGTCGTGGACGTATTTTAAGTTATTTATTCACCTAAATCGTGAACGTATTGCTAGTTATTTATTCACCTCAGTCGTGGACGTATTTCTAGTTATTCACCTCAATCGTGGACGTATTTCTAGTTATTTATTCACCTCAATCGTAAACGTATTGCTAGTTATTTATTCACCTCAATCGTGAACGTATTTCTAGTTATTTATTCACCTTAATCGTAAACGTATTGCTAGTTATTTATTCACCTCAATCGTGAACGTATTTCTAGTTATTTATTCACCTCAATCGTGGACGTATTTCTAGTTATTTATTCACCTCAATCGTGGACGTATTTCTAGTTATTTATTCACCTCAATCGTGGACGTATTTCTAGTTATTTATTCACCTCAATCGTGGACGTATTTCTAGTTATTCGCCTCAATCGTGGACGTATTTTTCGTTATTTATTCACCTCAGTTGTGGACGTATTTCTAGTTATTTATTCACCTAAATCGTGAACGTATTTCTAGTTATTTATTCACCTCAGTCGTGGACGTATTTCTAGTTATTCACCTCAATCGTGGACGTATTTTTCGTTATCGTGGAGGGACTGTGTTAGTATGAACCAAACTTGTATAAGCCTCTGGTTGACGTGGCATTCGTTCGTGCATATTTGACTCCCACTCGAGTCTGTGGCCCTCGTGTCACCGAATATAGATTTAATATAACTCAGAGAATGACTCTTGGATTAATACTAATACGTGACAAGGCAATGAGGTCAGCGTGAGGTTTTTTTAACGAGTACTTAGTTCGAAACTACATACATCTCTTTCGTATTTGAGAGGGGAGGGGCTCTAACTATTATGCATGGTTAAATATTAAATATCCCATGACAATGATGCATGAATGCTATTTGGCGCGGTCGCTCAAAGGTTAACACACGTTAGCTAACTCACATCAATATATCGCACACATTACATCACAACACAACATTCTGACTCAATGACTTCCTACACCATTTGCTATATCAATTAGCTATGGGTCCATAGCTTTTCTTGTGTCGGTCTTTGTGATGGCATTTTAGTCAGTTCTCATACATATGATGTCCTTAAATTTGTTATTTTCAGATATTAGGATTGTTATCGACACAGAAGAGCTATGGCCCCGCCAATAGATTTGCGTAACACAAACATGCGATGCAAATAACAGTCGATAAAAGCAGAATACTTTCTCTCATCACACCATCGAAACCATTGCCATATTGAGCGTAATGTACTGGCAATTTGGCACCAGTTTTCAGTTTGCTATGTACTTCTGTGAGAACATACTTTTAATGACATACTCATCAGATATACGTATTACGCAAGTTCTGATGTAATCAGATACAGGCATTTTGATTTTTTTTACTACATTCGATCTACAAAGGTGGCGCTCTTCGAACATACATCATGATACACATTATACGTTGATATCATGTTTACACGTTGGATTTTTGTTCAAAGTACAGAATTGGTAAAAGGGTGTGCACAGTGCTCTTACACAAGGCCAAATATATTATGTGCATAATTATAGTGAATACTTCACTATAACAAACCTAATGTATTATGTGCATAATTATAGTGAATACGTCACTATAACAAACCTAATGTATTATGTGCATAATTATAGTGAATACGTCACTATAACAAACTAATGTATTATGTGCATAATTATAGTGAATACTTCACTATCACAAACCTAATGTATTATGTGCATAATTATAGTGAATACTTCACTATAACAAACCTAATGTATTATGTGCATAATTATAGTGAACACTTCACTATAACAAACTAATGTATTATGTGCATGATTATAGTGAACACTTCACTATAACAAACCTAATGTATTATGTGTTACATTATAGTGAACACTTCACTATAACAAACCTAATGTATTATGTGCATAATTATAGTGAATACTTCACTATAACAAAACCAATGTGTTATGTGCATAATTATAGTGAACACTTCACTATAACAAACCTAATGTGTTATGTGCATAATTATAGTGAATACTTCACTATAACAAACCTAATGTATTATGTGCATAATTATAGTGAACACTTCACTATAACAAACCTAATGTATTATGTGCATAATTATAGTGAACACTTCACTATAACAAACCCAATGTATTATGTGCATAATTATAGTGAACACTTCACTATAACAAACCTAATGTATTATGTACATAATTATAGTGAATACTTCACTATAACAAACCTAATGTATTATGTGCATAATTATAGTGAATACTTCACTATAACAAACCCAATGTGTTATGTGCTTCATTATAGTGAACACTTCACTATAACAAACTAATTGTATATTCA